TATTCACAGCTCCAAAGTTTTTTTGCAAAAGGTCCTTCCATTAGTAGTTGTCTACTTAAGGAAGAATAATAATTCAGCATAGCATTTCTAGATAATGCAACTGGTGAAGGGAAGACCTACAGATATCTACAAAAGCTCGGTGAGGACAAATGCAAATGAAACAACATCCTATCACATTCATTGGGACCATCCTTGATGCACTTTCCTCAAGCCAGGTTCCAGGATATCTGACACAATTGGCCAAGAACATGCCTGCATAGAGAGAAGATATCAAGCTATGGACTGGTGCAAACTTTGGTTACTTCTCTCTGCATAAATATTTGCCCTCCAGATCAGTTGGGCAGACTTAGCAGACATTTTTCTCTAAGCCATGAACAAGAGATCAGACTCCATTCTTCAGATCTTGGTTTCAAAATGGGGTTCTCTCAGGACCCACCACTCAAAAGAAATGCCAGGTTCTAGCTCAGAATCACAGCTTTGTGTCTCTTTAATGCCACAGAAATGCTGCTCTACACTTGAATTCATAATGCACTGGACAGTCAAGTGATATTCGGCCAATCTCATCCTGATAGCCATACAGAAGCCAAGGCAGTTCTAGTATCATTTCAGTCCCAAGAGCTTGCAAATACTCTCAAGACAAGGAAGGCATACTACACTCAGAGCTCGACTTGCTCCATCTTTCAGAATGAAAGCTGGATAGCTCAAGTGTATAGCATCCTGCTTTTCCCCAGCTACAGATATCTTGATCAACAGCAAATGGAGCATTACAAGATGGAGCTTCCTGGCCAAATGGGTCGGATTATTAGCCTGCTGGCAAGGAACGTTCTATGCTCCGAGTGAGGCATTTAGTCCTGTAAATCTCAAACAAAGAAACCTGCCCCCAGACTCAACCAAAATGATTCTAAAAGATATTTTGGCTCGCCATCCAGTCTTGGAAGAACAGACAGTCATCTCAATCCACAAAACTTAAGTGTTCCTACTAGTAATGAGATCCAATCTCAACATAGGACTTCAGTAATTTACATAACAGATTACTGAAACCCTCTGAATTTATGTTACCATGTTCCCTTCTATACTGATTGGAGACAGTATTTCTGGCTGTTATCACCTTAGTGATAAATGCAGGAGATCCAAGCAGGGATGATGAAGCCCTCTCTTATATGGCATTCAATCTAGATGAAATTTCCTTGATAACTCATCCCAAGTTCCTGCCATCACATATTTCCACCTATCAGATCCACCATCTGATGCTTCTGGATGAGCAAGCTTCAGGAAAAGTAAGGTGTCACTCCACATTATGGATGTTAGAAAAGTCTTAACCTGCTATTTACAGTGACATACACCCTTTGTCTCCTCAACAATTCTTAGGTCCAGCAGAAAGGATGAAGGATATAGCAATTCCCACCTAGAGATTCTCCAAGTCTATCTCTAATTATATGTTCAGGCTACAAAACAGCCAAAGTGAATTATCCTTCAGCAACCAGGGCTCATTCAATCATTCAGGTAGCTTCTGTGACATTGTTTAGCAACAATCCCAAACCTGAAATCTGTAAAGCAGCTCACTAAAACTGAGCCATTTCCAAAACCTTCAGATCAGATGCTGCATTTGCAAATGTGTTGTTTCAGTCACTGTGCTCTCAAATGTCTGAAATCCTGTCCTTGGACACTGTTTTGGAGTTATTCACAGTGGAATGTGCACATGGACAATCACTCGAAGGAGAAAAACTGCTTACCTTACAACTGGAGTTCAAGATGTGTGTTCATCTTCCTCTCTTCTTTGAAGTCCTGCACATCTGGATTCTGCAGCTGAAGAAACTGAGGTGCAGGAGGTGCTCATCACCATATATACACTTGGTTCAAAGCACAAGGAGAGGTAGGATGCATGTGCTCCATAGAGGTACTGCTTGCCAAAGTCTCCAAGCTCGTGATCTGTATGTACAACTCCCAGTGGTATGAGCACGCAGATGACACATCTCGAACTCCAGTTACTGTAAGTCGAGTAACTTCTCATTCCCTTTCGTATTACCCTCTGCAGAGTCTGAATTTATTAATCTCAACTCAGGTACAGAGATGACTATTTAAAATTGACTATTTTTTTCTTGCCGTTTGCGTTAGAGGAAACATCCAATAATTCCAGGATTGCAAATGGAGTTAGGAATACAGACTGGATAGAACACAACCCTTGAACTATTTTAAGACAGTAACAGATCAGAGAAGACTTTGGAAGAAATAGTTACAAACTAGGATCTAGAAAAGGGCAGGCTGGGACATAGTTATGATGCACACTGGTAATTTGATAGTTGATCATACCAGCATCAACTATAGACCAGAAGTCCAACTTCTATACAAAGAGAAAAGGGGATGGGGAAAGCAACTAGGAAAAGAATACAGAAGGGGGGGTGGGGGGAAAATCTATCCTACACAAAAGTTGGGAGAACAAATATTGTCATTAAATAGCAGGATGACAGGAAAGATATACACCATAAAGGTAGTATACAAGATAAATTAACCAGAAACAAACTCTTGGGGAAAAAAAAATGGTAAAAAAAGAATGGTAGGAGACCCATGGAAGAGTGCAGAGTGGAAGGTTTAAAAGTGTGGATGGTTAAAATGTTTCCAGCTTCTGTGCAACTTAAATGAATCGACTATAAATGCATAGGTAGCTTATGTAGACAATTTCCAGATGCTTCCTCCACAGCTCCCTTCCTCCTGTTTGCAGGTTCAAGACCCTTGTCATCCTATCCACAGCTTCCTTTTCTTTAGCTCACAAGCATTTCAGAAAAAATTCTCAATGCCCGACACCACATATTAGGTACAAACCTGATATAGCCTCTCTGGTTAACTAATTGCTTCATTTGCTAAGAACAGGAGTGAAAGTGATGCTTTTCTCCATTGGCTGTCTAACAAGAAGCATCTAAAGCAGAAGCTTTGATAGTAATTGCCAAATATATCCAGAAGTAAACAAATGTTTAGAGAACTGCATAAAACTAGAGATAACTAGTGAAAAAGAAACCCTATTGCCTCAAATCCCCCAATCTGTCTTGATTGGTGTAGGACATGATTTCCAATGCATCTGCCACAAACCCACAGAGTCGTGTAGTAAAGCAATCAGGTTTCATTAATGCACATAGGAACTGCTGGAACAGACTGAGTGCATATGCAGTCTTCTAGCCCATTTCCAGTGGGAGTCAAGCGTGGAAATTTAACAACCCACTATGTACCTCAGTACTGTGGGAAAAGGATTGTTGTTGACCCTGATCTGCTATAACCAGACAACTGATTGCTGCTATTTTAATCTTTCTCTAACTAGACCGCTTCTTGCTTAAGAGTGATAGAGAGATTGCAGGTTACCTATGAGTAGAGGTAAATTTTAGGTAGGCAGAAGGTAAACTCACTGAAATCAGGTTTCAGTTCTGAAAGTTATAGACTGCTTACCACAGAAAAAGACTCCTCTGCAATCAAGCAACAGAATTCCCAAAGAGGTCTTAGGGGTAGATACCAAAAAAGTTAGATACAAACACACACAAAATCCTCAATGTGCACTTCTACCCTGACTAAGCAGTCAGTCTATATAGAAACCAGTCACACCACAGATTTCCCCAAGAAATGGATTCCTACTGTGAAGGAAAAACAGAGCCAGGTTACTTCAGAAGCCCTTCTTTCTTTAGTGACTTTTCAAAAAAAGGGTAGATCTCCCTTAAGTGAATCGGACTCAAAGGCCATGTCCAATGAGTGTAGACGTGTGGTAGATGGTGCTGCAAACCTGTCTGTGGCGCTACACACTTCACATGCAAGCATTTTCTGCACTGCTACTCTGCAGCACAGGGGGAGGTTTTTGACCTCGGGAGATCCCAGGGTCAAAAAAGCCCATGCTTAAAAGATGTGGGGTAGTGCATGTGGCAGCAGTGTGCGCCACCCAAAACTAGAGCCACGCTCCAGCTGCAAGCCAGGCTTCCCAACACAGCTGCAGCTCCCCGAGGCCCCCAGTTAAGGCAGCTGGGGTCAGCACAGTTGCTGGCCTCCGCATCCCTTCCCCTACCCAGAGTAACCTGCCATGTGCCAGAGTGTGTGTGGCACAGGTGTTCCCTAGGGACAAGTGTCGCTTCTACTTGTCCCCAGGGAAACAAGTGTCCATGTTTGTCTGGATGCACCCAGAGAGATCAGTTGTGGCTTCTCATAGAGATGTGCTCTATCCTAATATCTAGACCAGTGGTTCTCAATCTTTTTGGACTCAAGGCACCATTCACTGGACTTGAAGCACTCCTCTGTAACTTTTGTTTTTGAAATTGGATGCCACTCAAGCCACAAGTTTACAGATGACAGAGCTCGCTTTCCTGCGGAGAGGCCTGGCTGTATAATATGGCATCGTCCAGGCAGGGACAAGCATTAGCCTGCACTTATGCACTTAGTTTATCTGCTTATCTGCTAACACCTCACAGTACCCTTCAAAAGATTTGTTAACCCTGGTTGAGAATCACTGATCTAGAATGATTTTACCTCCATCATGAATAATAGCCTACACTGCAATAATTTTACTTAACGTAACTCCCCAAGTTTAATTCTTTTGCTCCACTGCTTTACACTCATGTAGAGTGCTACGTGAGAAAGTCTATCAACTGCTATTAAGCCTGTCAGCAAAAATTCCAAGCGATTCTTCTCTCATGTTCCTTTTTTTTCCTTTTAAAAATATCTTAAATACAGAAAGATATTAGTGTAGTATCAAGGCAGCAAGCTACAGGTGACAGAAGCAGCATTACAACATTTAAAGGCTTCCAGCACTGCTTTGTCACCTGGACCACGCAGTATTTTCTATTTCTCTTTCCATACGAGTTTTACAGAAGACAAAATATAGTGGTTATGCAAAACTGCTGCATTAATGTTGCTCTATAATTTATTATTTCAACAGTGTAATTGAGATAGTAGATTAACAAATCTTGATTTAATATATCATAATCCATGCCACACTCTACAGAAGATATACAACCAGTAATTCATCTTACCTTCTCTTCAACACTTCCCGCTTCTCTATCCGATTAAACAGTTCCTGCTCCCTCTCCTTCTCTGTCATCTGCTCTAGCCGAGCTCTGTCTTCCTCATCTCCCATAAGGTCCTCTCCATAGCCATCATGGAATTCCTCATCTTCAGAGGATGAATCTGAATCGGAGCTAGAGGAAGAGCTGTTGCTTTCAGAGTCAGACACCTCACCTGAAATCAAACCATAGGACAGTTGCACTGAACTGGGGCAAAACTAAAGTTGCTCAGACGACGAGGGATGTGAAACATTAGTCTTCCATTATTCAGAAGCAATAGCATGAAATAAGAATGAAAGTCAAACACGTTCTACAAGATATCATGCAGTCCAAGAACTCAACAGAATTTAAGTATTGTGGAGGAGCAGAGCAGTAGCAACATCATAATTATGAATGCAGCAAAGAATTAATTTTGATAATGGCACTTAATTTTTCAGAAATGCAGGATTAACAAATTGTTAAGCAGGACCCTGTAGTTGAATGTTTGATGTGGGTATGGTGCAAATCAGGTTATAAATGCTGAATTATAAGACCATCAAAAGTCTTTGCAGTTTTTTTATTTTATTTTTTTTAATTAGTTGCAACATCTCTGTACTCCTTTTAGCAAAGGAAATACTTGGGAGCCAATTTCTGCCTCATTTGTTATTCTGCATCTGCTAAGTAGAACACCACCATTTAGAGGTGGAACAAGTATTTTAAAACCTTCCCCTCACCACCGTAATGTGAACATGAAGCTGATATAAACACTGTCAACTTTCCCCACCATTACAGCTGATGTGCTGGTATTGCATCTGGATGACAATGTTACTATGTAATCTCTGCTTTAGATTACAGTCTAAAGCAGAGAAACTTGTCCTTATTCTGAGGGATAGTTATTTTAGCTGAGAACCAACAAAATATGTAAACATTTCTCCTCCCCTGATGGCAAGCTTTCATTATCCTCCTACCACTTTGCAAACCAACTTCAGGTACAGGTGAGAATAGTCCCTGATATGATGATCCCAAATACTACCTATATTTCAATGTCAATAGCCTGGTATCTCTCACGTTCCAGAGAGTATTCTGCTGTAACTTTGGCAAACATTACTATTCAGGTTTTAAACTGGAGGGGGAGTCTGATGAAGCTAGGGAGAGTATTGCTTATTGCTATCTGTTGAAAACAGAGCTGGTAACCCATGAGGGTTTGGTTTTGTTTTGGGGTTTTTTTTTTGGGGGGGGGGGGGGGGAAGAGGGGGTTGGATAATCAACATTATTATAAGAATTATAGAGGTGACAAAGAATATAGAAGACTTCTCCCTTAACATATATTCATGCTTTTAAGGTTCACAGTGGGCGATATGTGTCTTGATATCTGTAACTGATTTTAAAAGGTTTTTTGTTTGTATTAATGTGAATTTTAGCACCTTCCACTCAAATTTCTGGTACTTGCAACAGTCTGAGAAAGGATACTAGATTAGACAAGCAACTCACTTATTCCTGTGTCAGACAGATCTCAGAAGCTTTTTCCACAAACACTTAAAATGAGACACTTTCACTTTACAATTGCAAGAAAAACAGCATCAAAATTATGACACAACATACAAGAATAATTAGGAACACACAACTGAGCATTCCCTATAAAGCATAGTACCTTCTAAGAAAGTCAAAGAAAAGGCTTATATGGAAGTCTGAGCAAGGAATGAGGGGGAACTAAAGATAAGACTTGAAATATAGGGATAAAGCAAACTGAAGAAGCTAAAAAGGGGGCGAGGGGGATCCTCTGTTCTCCCCCATCTCTAGTTTCTGCGACTCAAAGCAGAGAATGAAATTAGCTTTACATTTTATGTTAAAAGTAACATTTAGTTGCATTTGCATCAAGTACTTTCAGCATGCTGTATAGTGAATTACATGCAGTCTGAGATGAGATTCAAGCCTGTGACAAATTTAGAAGTTATTTGACTGGAAAAACCCTCCAGAATACTAGAAGCACAAATACGTGAGAAAAAATGGAGACAAGTTTGGGCATTGTGGATGCTCAGTTAACTGCATTAAACATGAAAAAATGGTCATTTAATAGAGTAGTGCTATGAGCTACTGCCTACATGTTCTTACCTTCTTCAGGCGCTGAGCTCTCAGCAGAGCTGTCTTTATCTGAGCTGCCTGAAGAGGCAGCTCTGTTAGCTTGTTTCTTCATAGCTGCCTTCTTCTCTGCTTTCCCAGCTTTTCCCTTCTTTTTGTTTTTGGAACCCCCAACAGTCCACTGCAAAGTAAGAGGAAAGGAACAAATTGAGAGAGAGGCACTGAAAAGAACCTTACCCTAAAAAATATTCCAAATTCACCACAGCACAAACTCTTGGAAGAAGCAGACCAATAAACCCGACAACTGGAATACAAACCAGTGCTTCAGGGAGAGTGAAACAGAGTATACATCTAACCAGACCCATCATATAAATGCCAGTCATAAGTTTTCACAAGTTAGCAACATGAACCAGTTGGCAGTACACACTTAAATAAAAAGGGTCAAGAGGGCTAAAAAAATGTTGCTGTTCTATAGGACTCTACAGAAAGTCTGAGCACGGAGGACGTTTTCCCAGGAAACAAATTTTACAAATATAGTTGGACACTTCCTTAGTATCCTGTTATTCAACAGAAAAAAAAAGATGGCTTTGTTTACAAATAAGATTTATTCAGACAACATACTACAAATTTCACAAGAAATAAAGACAGTTTTGCAAAAAACACCCTCTACCAGAAGTAGACAAAACAGACAGACATTTTTTGTGCAGAGTGCATCTCTTCTTGCTCAAACATTAATGCAGGAAACAGCATATTAACACAAAATACTTCACATATTTAAGAGGCATGCTAATAACTGCAGGAAGGATCATTAATTCTCTACATTTTCTATTTAGAGGTCTTAGCCTTCATATTCCCTCAACATCCTTTTTCTGTTCCTAATATTCTTGGACTATAAGCTTTCTGGAAGAGGGAATTTATATCTTGGAGGCTCAGATAACATCTAGCATACTGTGGGACTACCAGGAAACAATTTAGTGTTTACAATGTCATTTCCAATTAGCTTTCTTCTATTCCATCCTGACCATTTAGTCACAATGACTGACAGACCAAACGGAATGTTCAAGGATCATTTAATGAAGGAGTAGTCTCTCAATTTTATCTGGTCCCTTACTAGCTTCAAGGAATTCTGTGCTTTGGGGAATTCCTACTGGATGTGAAAGAAGGTTCTTTACCTTCAAACACTTAACATTTTTAAAACTTATTTTACTACCACACCATCAAGGTCTTTAACTCTGTCCGATTTAAAGATGCCCAGAATTTGCATTTAGCTTGAATCAAACCAAACTGGAACATCTGAAGTCACTTTTTCAAACATCAGTCACCATCACTCCCACTCAACTACCGGCTTCCTCTTTCAAAATGAAAATGATTTTTAGCTCTTCTAAACCCCAACTTTCCAAATTCCTCAGGATACAGACAGCTTTGATCAATCTGATTTCCTGATAGGGGCCAGCAAGAGTACCTCACCCTTTTTCCTCCATCACCTTTGTCAGTGTTCCCAGAATGCCTCCTTGCCTTCAAGGTACCAGCAGACATTCAACATAGTCTGCTAAGTGACTGTGCTGCTCTTTTACCTACATTTATTTTCCTTTCTGCATCCTTTCTCCATACAGCTCTCCACAAATGAAAGTTCTTTAGCATTGTCCTACCCATTCTCCTCTTCTGTTTAAGTAACCCCTCAAAATTGTCCCTTTTCTCATTATATTGCAAGGTAGGACCCATCACTGATCTTTTGTTTTAAGGATAGTACAAAAGAAACCGGATTCTTTGTAGGATTAAGTTCTGAACCACTCTGCAGAAATGAAGGTTTGTAAAGTATATGGGAACATACAGAGCCACAGCAAATTGCTATACAGGACCACTGAAGTGCTCCTGCGGTTTGCTGCAGTTTTTATTTTTAAGGGTGTTACTTCTCTGATCAGCTATGCAGTTTCTTAATTCAGCAAGGTGCTGCAAACTAAAAGGGTTGCAGTAACACCCAGATACAAAAATAATGGGGTTCTACTGTAAAATAAAAATAATATATATTGAGTAATATAGATCAAGTTCCAAGCACTGCAAATTCAAACCAATGCAATAACACATTCATCTCAACACCTCAAAGGAGCTACTATGAATATTAATGATATCTAAAAACCCTAGAATAGTACAATTTGACAGATGGTAGAAGCACCTTGCTAGTCAATGTACTTCATGCTCTGAGCGTTCGTGTACAAATTTCACTTAAATTCACAGATGCCAGAAACCTGCAACAATTCTGTAGTTCCTTCACAGGACTCCCCCCCCCCCAAATAACGTGCTTATTACAAATCAGCAAAAAGGAAGTGAACCGATAGTTTCTTTCACCCCCATTTCCAACTTACAAAATGTTGATACAGCTCAGCTGAAATCAGACATTTGCAGCAGACAATGCACTGGTTACGAAGTAGCCATGTCTCCTACAAACTTCCCTGAACAGACCTGCCTAGGAATAAGAGCCAAGGACTGCTGCATGATAACCCCTTAAATCTATCCGAAACCAGAAAAGTTTACACTGGCTCCGAGCTGGGGTAATATCAACCTAGGCAAAATCTCTCGGGAAAGATTTTGGCGTGCACAACACCACACACCTATATCACCTGTTAGACTGCCAGCTGTATTCCCATATTGCTTTGTGCCCTCCTCTGACTTGGCTACTCTGTTTATCTGTGTAGTAGCCTCTACTGCTCTAGGAACGGTGACTTGATACCACGTTCCAGTTTGTATTTGGATATTTGACAAAGCTCTTTTTTGTCTTGCTCAGGCACTCTAGGAATCATCACCTTCAGAGCTCACCTGCATTGCTTTTCTGTGAACATGCCGCAGTCAAGGCCTTTATCTCTGAAGCACAGCAAGCCCTGAGGAAAAACTGCCAAAACCAAGACATGTACATGACCACACACATTACAGGAAAATAACCTAAAAGAAAACCACAACCTCTTGGGTACTGGGCAAACCACCTCCCCATACTATGAAGAGCTGGACAGGACCTTGGCAAGAGACACCACTAGCACCAAGTCCCACTTCATGACAAAACAGGAGCTAGCATGGAGAGACTATGAACATCAGATTAAAAAAAAGAGTCCATGTGCAGGGTATATAGACTATACCTCCTGCCAGCCAGACCAACACTCTTGACAGCACACCAGCCTGCAGCACAGAATGGGGGAAGAATGTTGTCACTGTAACCATCAGCACATGCTTAGTTAGAGGGCAACTGGCTTTTATTTATGTTGCTGGTGCTACCATTGTAAGTGAAAAGCAATGTTCCTTTCATGTTCCACTTCCTTTCCCTCTGTGTGCTCAAGATCACGACTGCTGAAAACTACATCCACACAACTTTTCTCATGCTTCAAGCCAAGTCAAGTCTTCTTCACTGCTTTACACCTGTCTGCCAAGCCACTCTGCTATTTTTCCCAGCCTCACAAGATTCCAAAATGGCATATTCAAAAACCAGTGCAGAACAACATTCTTTAGAGCTGCTCTTTGCACTGAGCAATGAACCTTAAGGTAACTTAGTGACAAAAAACTGGACCAGAAAAATCAATTCAAAAGTTCTCTCTAGCACTGTAAAAAAATCAGCTACAAGTTCCCCCAAAACCTAGAGCAGACTACTATTAATAGCTATTAGAAATTACTCAGATGTAGAAGACACAATCACTAAAACCTTCCCTAGAAGCAGACAAAACCTCAACCACCGTGGAAAAGCATCTATAAGCCCAGTAAACCTAGAGCATATTCCAATGAAGAGATAAGAAACCTGAGATCCAGAAGGCACTTTAGCAAGCTTAACATTTCAGGGCAGGGCTGCCTTATCCCTGGACCTCCATTCATACTGGACCTCTGACCAGGATGGTGTCACTAACAGTAATGCTCAACTCCCTTGACCTTCTCAGAGATTTGACTTCGCTTTTTTGTCTTGCTGAGGAAAGACATCCTCCAGTGTTTGAACGACTTGAAGAAATGCCTGTAGTTACCAACCTTTCCCCAACATTCCTAAAAATCATTCCACACACATCCAATAGCACCCCTCAGTTAACAAGCCATAGCACTAAAGTAGGGAAGGGCACACCAGAGAAAGTGAGCAATAGGACACTTGCCCATCCCAAAAACAGTTCCTTCACACACTGCAAGACAAACCTCCTAACCAAGCCAGTCAGCAACAACAAAGCCAAAGCATAAAGCAGCAGCTCAGTTGACAAACCCTGACCTACTCCACTGCTCCCAAATCAGCACCATAAAAGCAACAGGGGACCCCAATGGGATGGAAAAGCAACAGGCAACCCCAATGCCAGTCATGAAACCACAGCTTTAGGTTTTCTGCAAGGGTGAAAGCAAGCAGCATAGGAGTCAAGATGAAAGAAGACCACCAAATCTATCAAGATTAGGAAACACTCTGGAAATGACATCTTAAAAATCTTAAGTGAGCAGGTGGGAGGGGGGGCGCATGCACCCAGACTGTGAAAACCAAAACAAGAAAAACAGCAGCAGCAACATTTGCTTCGTTTCTTGCTTTCTAAGGTGACCCCTAGTCTCCAGACAGTGGTCCACCATCTAGCAAACTTTGAGAACCTGCAAGAAGTGCAGCAAAGTGGAAATGTTAGATTAACTTGGAGTCACCAACAAAACACAGCAAAGCAACAGATGACTGGTGAGAATATCAAAAGTAAGAGAAAAAGCATGCATGATATTGGCTAAGAAGGGCGTCAACCAGAATAAAGAGCTGGCATAGTCAAGGAAACTCTTGGGCTGGTCAGGAACAACAACCATTTGTGAACCAGATGCAGTGTTTAATGTTGGAAAAATCTCAAAAAAGATCAGGAATGACCAAGATACAACCTGCAGGCCAGATTCAGCCCACAGAGCCACATAATCAAGCCTGCAGGGCTCCACAAAGTTCTGGAATGTTGATGAAATGCAAGTAGCAGCAGCAGCCACAGCAATTAATGGTGGCAGAATGGGTGGCAGATTTCCAGACCTATGGTGGCCCACAGGCCAGAAATTTGGAAGTGGGGGGGCGCAATAGCTGGTACAACTCCAGAAGCTGCAGCAATTAACTCACCTAGCCTACGAAGTTGGCCCTGTGGGCCACTCACTAAGATCATCTGCACTGCTAGAGACAGTGACCACCATTCTGTTTCTATCTTCCTCATCCTTTTCCTCAAACCAACCACACAGCAGCTGTGTCCATTAGAGGGTCAACCACTCCTGGGTTTCCAGGGGCTAGAAAACATTTAGGTGCTGCTATCAACAGCTCTGGAGTAGCATGGTCTCCAAAGAGTCAGACAAAAAAAAATCCCACCTTGCACAGAGAATAGGAT